TTGGTATCTGCTAATTTAAAAATGTAAGGAGCAATTTTTTCACCTTGTTCCTTTTTCAAAATACTTCTAATGGTGCTATAATTCTTGGGTTCCATGGTAGATCGGATGTAAATGAGTTTCATATTAACTATTTTTATATAGAGGTAATTCTATATATCACTGAAGATAACAAATGGGATATTATAAAACTGTTAATTATGATCACATTACAAATGACTAAATTTTGATCCCTGAAATCCTTGGTAATACCAATGTTCACTTTGTCTGGTTTTGTTGCAGTATGCCCCAAATAATCGTTTGGTGCAATTATCCCTGAGGAGTAGATACCATTTTTGGTAAGCCAATAATAGTTGCTGTCGCCCACTTACCGCACCTACCTCGGTCACACGAATCCCAACCCGAAACCCCCATGATTGGTAGAAAATAAGGAAATCTTATCTTAAAAAAACATTGTCGTGTAACCGAGGTAGGTGTGGTGAGAGTTTTCCGCCCACTGTATCATTAAATTAATCGAGTTTCCGGGTCTTTTGTTGCACCAATTTATATAATTTATATTAATTTTTTTTTAATTATTAATAAATAATTTTATAACAATACTTTAAAAAATACTTGAATACTTTAAAAATGTCTCAGGCTGTTGCTTCTTCGCCAGTACATAGTGTTTCGCCTCCCTTGCCACCTCAAATCCATTCTCCTGAATTACCCTTTCCAACAAAACTAACACTTGAGCTAAGAGGAACTCGGTTTGAAATTGATCGAGAAATGTTAATGAGTCTACCTGAAAGCATTCTTATTGTAATGTTTCCTAATGGACTTATGTTGAATAGAGCTCTAGATTACGAAGACGATGTAGCTGAGGATGATAATTCAGTCCATTCAATAGACATAGAGGACCAGATTGTTGATGTGGATTTTGATCCTTCCTGTTTAGAATATATTTTAAATTTTTATAAAACAGCACAAGAAGCATTTTATTCTAACCAAGGAAGTACCTCTACAGCATTCCCACATAGTCCACAGAATCCACTTTTAAGTAAACAGGCGATAATTGTTTTAAGAGAAGAGTTGGACTATTTTACCATACCACCAAAATCCTCCCAAAAACATAATATATCGACAGAAGCAACAGGAAAAGGAACTTTGAACAATACAACAACAGAAACTACAGCTCTTAGTGGCACCAGCAGCATTACAGCCGCAAATGAAACTAGTGATAGTGAGCAAGCAATTGATATTTTTGAATTAAAGACAGAGTGCGGTTCATATCTTCTTAATCAAAAAAAGATATTTACAGCGTTACAACGTAATATTAATAAAGAAAATAATGTAGCAGAACAGCATTTGATAGATATGTTATGTGTTTCAGGCTTTTCAAGAGATGATGAATGGGGATATCGTAATATTGAACCACTTAAGACGAGTATCGTTAGTATTGCATTAGTAATGCTTAAAACAACAGGACAGGGTAATCAAATGGCAACAGCACAAAAGTTGTTATTATTTTGGAGGAAACCGGCTGTATGTATTAAATTTTATAATGTTAATTTTAATTTATAGTAACAAACTTTTTTTAAAAAAATAAATTTGTTCTTTTATAGAGAAAATGCTGGTGGGATGGATTAGAAATTAAAGTTTTTGGTGATAGAGCCGTACCGATCCGATTATGGTGCAGACGTACATGGACTTTGGAATTGGCTTTGGTTTAATATTAAAGGTTTAATAATTTATACAATAAATATAATATGTATTATTTCTTATTACAAGATAGAACCAAAGTTATATATAATGACATTTTAAATATGCTAGCTAAACCATTTTTTTAATATTCTTTTGTCATTTAATTTTTCATTTATTTTCTCAATTTTTATTGTCATTTTTTTATTTTTTTCCCTCCTTTAATTGGGAACCTTTACCGTGTATTTTTTTTTTCCTAATAATAATATATTGTTTTTTTGTGAATTAATTATATCGTAATCAAAAAAAAAAGGGTTTGGCGGTGGTGGTGGTGGTTTTATTATTATGTTAGCAGCATTAGAACATTTATCATTATTATTATTATTAAGACCGTAGATAATCCTTACTTTAAATTAATTAAATTTATAACACTTTTTCAATTTACATTTCCATCTTTGTATTTCTAATAATACTATGTGTTTAATACCAAAATTAATCTAGATTTATAATATATGGGAAGTTTTCTTTTTTTAAAATAAATCAACTCAAGGATGAACTCTTTTAAAAGTGTAGTGACCATAAACCGGTTAAATTCTAAAGCTTCAACAAGTGAAAAAACATATATAATGAAATATAGTGAATAACTAATTATTTTGTTAAATTTCCCCGACTAGGAGAGACTCCCATTAGATCTTTCCGATGTTGTATAGGTTCTTGAGAAGGGCGGTAAAAGTCGAGAGCAATATTGATGCACCAGCAATAACAATGGCAGTTGCTGAACGAAAGTCCAAGACTTTGTGAAATGCATGGTGGGTTGATACATTCAACAACACCGTGTACTTTGACACTAGTTATTTTTAAACCTACAGGGCAAAATTGTATCATTAGAATTGTTAAACTATACTTGTTCTAAATATACTTGTTAAATAATTATTAATATTAGACCTTTTATGTCGCCAATTGATAGTATTATAGTCCTATTTGATTTCTTATCACAAAAAAAGAAGTGAAATTTTTGATAACAAATTATTTATGTTCTTTTTGAATTATAAAGATAATACATGACTGCCATCACTACATTCAAGATCCAAAGGTGATAACAAATATTCTTATCCTAAATCAAGGCTCCCAGCTATCAAATATCTGTCTATATATTATACAAGAAGACAGAATCTTTCTCCATCATCTCCATCATCATCAATATTAAAACAACGTGGATTTGACGACTACCCAAAAATCATAACTAAAAAAAGATTTTGGAATTTAACAACGGCAGCAAAAAACAATCTGAAAATTATAATCAAATCTCGTTGGAACCTTCCATTAGAATTGAGAAACCTCCACTGATGCTTATAGAATTAATTAATGTATATAAAACGGTGAAAGGAGTTTTTGGAAATGGTTACTTGAAATTTGGTCTAGAGATAAATTTAACTTGACAAATGATTCTAAATGTTTAACGATAAAATATATAGGAATGGTTTAGAATGAATTAAACACATTCTAAAAAATAAAAATATGATACAATGGAAAGAAAGTCACCATCATTTATACCGCCATCACCATAATCATCATCAATATTATGGGATCAGACTAATACAATATTAATAGATGATTTACCACTTAAAGCCCATAACGCCAATACATTTAAAAGAATTTATTTAATCGAGAATTATTTGTGATAGAAATGATAGTGAAATATTGAATATTTATTTGAATATTATCATCCTTATGGTAGCAATTAAACATATTGAATCAGTAAGCGATAATACAAAAGTTTTATGAAGAAATAATTGAATTAGATTTAGATGAAGAAGGTTTATAACTATTTATTATTTAATTATAATAATTTTGCAAGATATTTTTTCATAATATATCTTTATTTTTGAATTTTGCAAAAAAAAAAAACGCGTTAAATTTTTTCATCATGTGATTTATTTCTTTCGCAAGGGGGGAATTGAAAAAAATTTTTTTTTTGTAGAATTTACTTTTAACTCTTTAAAAATTAAATTTCATAATTAATAATAAATAATGGCATCTGTACATGGTTGGGACCAAGGAAAAATTTACACTTCCTCTTTAAATTCTAACAATAGATCACAAACAAGGGATTCGCGTACTAGTCTTGAACAAAGGCTTTACAAGTTTGTTGATGAGTTTCGACTTGGTGACCACTTTATCTACAGGTCTTTACCTTATTTTTATTCAAGATTAAGATTAAAAATTATTCACACACACACACACATATATATTTAAAATGATAATAATAATTGCACTTATCATTATTATATATTTTTTTGTGTTTTATATTGATTATTACGCGTTTTTTATATTTAATACTTATATAAATTATCCAATATTAACATATATTTTTAATTATATATAGAGATGAAATAAAATTAAATGCATTAGCCAAAGAATATTATGTTGAGATTCAAATTGAACATCTTGAACTTCAAGATCGTGATTTGTTTGAAATATTTAAAAAGCACCCGTCTGAGATTATACCATTAGTAAAATATTAAAAATATATTTTTTGAATAAATTTCTAATGAAATAAATAAATAATTTATTATTGATAACATATTTTTAAAAGCTTGAATCTGCAATTAGAACACGTGCTCAAAGGACCTTGAATCAAGATGATATTCCTACGTTTCAAGCTTTACTTAAATATTCTCAAAAAGAGATTATTAATATGCGTCAATTGAGTGTAAGTCTTTTTTTCCAAATTTAATTATGAAATATATTGTTTCCCAAATTAAAGCTTCGTTAATCAATCGATCATATAAATATTTTGTAGGCAAGTTCTATTTCTAATCTTGTCCGAATCTCTGGCATTGTAATAGCTGCTACAAATTTAACTTCTAAAGCAACACATATTCATATAATGTGTAAAACTTGTAGACATTCAAAAACACTTGTAGTTTCTGGTGGTTTTTCTGGAATCTCACTTCCTAGAGCTTGTGATGGGTAAAAACAAAGCAAAACCATTAAAATCTCCAAATTCTTTAGAAAATTTAACTAATTAATTAATTTTTTTTTGGTAAAAAAAAATAAAGTGATCAAACTGGAGTGGGTCCAAAGGATTGTGGTTTAGATCCATATGTTGTTTTGCATGATAAATGTTTATATGTAGATCAACAAGTATTGAAAGTTCAAGAATGTCCTGATCTACTTCCAGTTGGTGATTTACCACGTCACATAACAGTTCACGTTGACAGGTAAATAAAGAATAATAGTAGAACTTTTAAAATGATACAAGTTAATTATAATATAATAGTACATTAAAAAATTTTTATTGTTATTATTATTAATTAATTATTTTATTTTATTTTATTTAAAAAAGATATTTGACTGATAAAGTAGCACCAGGAAATCGTGTTAATATCTTGGGAATTTATGATATTTATCAAAACTCTTCTGCAAAGGTATATTGTATTCGTAGATGATGAAAAAATTCAATTAATCTTAATCATATTTCCTCAATTATTATTATCGTTATTGTTTATAGAGACAAAATCAAAGCATTGGCACAAGAATACCTTATGTAAGGGCACTTTCTATTGAATTTGATGAAAATCAAAGTGGAACAAATCATAATACATTTACACACTCAGAAGAAGAAGAAATGATTCAAATGTCTAGAAACCCAAATTTCTATAATATTTTTACTAGTAGTATCGCTCCATCAATTTACGGAAATGAAGGTAAAAACAAAAACAACAACAACAACAATAATGTTTACATCCAATTCATAAAAATAAATAAATACTTTTTTTCTAATTGTTACTGTTAGATATTAAGCGTGCCATAACTTGTTTGCTTTTTGGTGGAAGTAAAAAAATTTTAGAGGATGGTATGCGCCTTAGAGGAGATATTCATGTTTTGTTATTAGGTGATCCCGGTACAGCAAAAAGTCAATTCTTGAAATTTGTTGAAAAGGTTTTTATCAATTTCTCATAATCATAAATAAATAATAAATATAATAATAATCATTATTACATAACTAGATTGCTCCGGTTGCTGTGTATACTTCAGGTAAAGGAAGTAGCGCTGCAGGTTTAACAGCAGCCGTTATTCGTGATCCTTCAACTGTAAGTGTTTATTTTTATTTTTTTTTGAAATATACTTGTTTAAAGCAAATAAACGAAAATCAAAATATTTTTAGGGCGACTTTTATTTGGAAGCAGGCGCAATGGTTTTATCAGACGGTGGTGTAATTTGTATAGATGAATTTGATAAGATGCGAGAAGAAGATAGAGTAGCTATTCATGAGGCAATGGAACAACAGACTATATCTATTGCTAAAGCTGGTATAACCGCTGTTTTAAATACTCGTGCATCTGTTTTGGCTGCTGCTAATCCTCAATTTGGCCGTTATGATGACATGAAAACCCCTGGAGAGGTAATTTAACCCAAAATTTTGTTTTATTTTAGGGATATTCCTTTTTCATTATTATTATATGCTAACTATGTATATTTATATAATAATTAATCAGAATATTGATTTTCAAACCACTATTTTATCAAGATTTGATATGATTTTTATTGTTAGAGATGAATGTAATCAACAAAGAGACATGGTATTGAAAGAAAATACATTATATGTGTATATGTATATATGTATATATATTATTCATTATATTAAATGTTTGATATTTATTTACTTATTAAAAAAGAATATAGCAAGGCATGTAATGAATGTACATATGCATAAGACTCAACCAGAAGCTGAAGGTGAATTGGAAATAGTGAAAATGAAAAAATATATAAGTTATGCTAAATTGTAAGTAATAAATGTAATCTTAAATTCACCAACGCCAATTCATTCTTCTAATAATATCATTCTTTTTATTATTAGAAAATGTGCACCACGACTTTCTGATGAAGCAATTGAAAAATTAAGTAATTATTTTGTTACAATCCGTGATGATGTAAAACGATTGGAACAAGATAGTAAAACAAGATCTTCAATACCAATTACTGTAAGGTAAACAGAAAATGGTCCGATAATAATTAAATAGCCATT